GGTCGGCCGGCGCCCGACGCGGGGCCGGCGCGCTTACCTTGACCCACTGCTCGGGGCTGACGCCTGGCAGGGTGACGCTGGTCTGGGGTTTGTCCAGTAGAACCTGGAGTTTGCTGCAGGTGGGGTCCTTGCTGGTACAGATGCTGATGGGTACCATCCAGTAGGAACAATTCTCACCTGGGGAAAGCCGAGGCCACGCAAAAAACGCTGCTCAGAATTATGGTGGCGGGTTTAAAAATCGTTCAGTGACAGAAAATTCTGGAGCAAGTCTGAAAAGACGTTTCAAAACGTCTTTGGGAGTGAATGAGTTTTGTATGAAATGGAAGCAGAACAAGCGCATTCATTTGCTAATTTTTGGGGTCATTGCAGAATAAGTCCCCCCCCCCCCGACAGGCCCACCCTGACAGCACTGGGCAGCAACTGGGTCGGGCTATCGAATTTATTTTGTGATTTCTTCACTTGATTTTCCTGTTTTGATACATTCGTTTTCATTTTCGTAGTTTCACTGAAGTCATCGTTAATTGACGTTTTTTTTGGAAGCCCACGTGAACGCCTCTCGAGTCTGAACAGAAGGAGCGTAGCTCCATCTAGTGGATGCATTGTACACTGCGCCTGTCATAACAGTGCGTCCAATATAGGAAAAAAAAAATTAGAAAATAGGCCGTTCATTGGAAGATGCGTCACATAATCCAGTGCGCCTTCTAGCGCGGAAAATACGGTCGATACTTTTTGTTCTTTCATAATTTTTGCTGCTGTAAATTGGGAATTTACAACAACAACAACAACAACACCACTTGCCATTCTGCGGTCCGCTAGCGCAGAACTTCTTCTGAGAGATATTGAGAACGCGGTCATCACCGTGCTTTGAAGGAAACAAACGAGGAGTCACAAGCAAGTCCCTCGGGGGTTTTGTTTTGTCTGGGGTTTTTTTTTTTGGGGTTTGCGGGGGTGGCAAAGACAGACCAACCTGCTCCTGTTTGACTGCGATAATGGGGAAGCCCATCTGTTTGGTCCACGAGTTCATCACCGTGGCGATGGGTTTGCCGCTAGCTTGCTCCAAACATTCCCACAGGTCCTCTGGAGAGCAAAAAATAAAAAAATAAAAACCACAACCGGCATTGTTTCACTGAGGTGCGCACGCCGCGCCCTCTTATTGAGAAAAGCGACTGGCCCGGGGTCACGCGACGTCGCCTCGCGACGGCACACCTGCGACGACACACGACAAGACGAAGCATTTTCTCAACATTTGACGCTGGAACGGTTTTAAGAAGCGCGCTTTGTTGAGTTGAGGTTCTTTTGCAATGTGATGCTCTCTGCTGGCATCTCACGCGACTGACATGCTACTCAGCAGACGTTTTTTTTTTTTTTTTTAATTCCAACTCAAAATGATTTTTTTTTAAATTCCAACTAAAAATGATTTGTTTTTAATTCCAACTAAAAATGATTTTTTTCAAAAAAATTCCAACTAAAAATGATGATTTGTTTTTAATTCCAACTAAAAATGATTTTTTTTCAAAAAAATTCCAACTAAAAATGATGATTTGTTTTTAATTCCAACTAAAAATGATGATTTTTTAAATTCCAACTAAAAATGATTTTTTTGTAAATTCCAACAAAAATGATTTGTATTTAATTCCAACTAAAAATGATTTTTTTTAAAAAAAATCCAACTAAAAATGATGATTTTTTAAATTCCAACTCAAAATGATGATTTGTTTTTAATTCCAACTAAAAATGATTTTTTTAAAAAAATTCCAACTAAAAATGATGATTTTTTTTTAAATTCCAACGAAAAATGATGATTGTTTTTAATTCCAACTAAAAATGATTTTTTTTTAAATTCCAACTAAAAATGATGATTTGTTTTTAATTCCAACTAAAAATGATGATTTGTTTTAATTCCAACTTAAAAGGATTTTTTAAATTCCAACTAAAAATGATTTTTTTTGTAAATTCCAACAAAAATGATTTGTTTTTAATTCCAACTAAAAATGATGATTTTTTTTAAATTCCAACTTAAAATGATTTGTTTTTAATTCCAACTAAAAATGATGATTTTTTAAATTCCAACTCAAAAAAATGATTTGTTTTTAATTCCAACTAAAAATGATGATTTGTTTTAATTCCAACTTAAAAGGATTTTTTAAATTCCAACTAAAAATGATTTTTTTTGTAAATTCCAACAAAAATGATTTGTTTTTAATTCCAACTAAAAATGATGATTTGTTTTAATTCCAACTTAAAAGGATTTTTTAAATTCCAACTAAAAATGATTTTTTTTGTAAATTCCAACAAAAATGATTTGTATTTAATTCCAACTAAAAATGATTTTTTTAAAAAAAATCCAACTAAAAATGATGATTTTTTAAATTCCAACTCAAAATGATGATTTGTTTTTAATTCCAACTAAAAATGATGATTTGTTTTAATTCCAACTTAAAAGGATTTTTTAAATTCCAACTAAAAATGATTTTTTTTGTAAATTCCAACAAAAATAATTTGTTTTTAATTCCAACTAAAAATGATGATTTTTTTTTTGTAAATTCCAACAAAAATAATTTGTTTTTAATTCCAACTAAAAATGATGATTTTTTTTTTGTAAATTCCAACAAAAATAATTTGTTTTTAATTCCAACTAAAAATGATTTTTTTTAAAATTCCAACAAAAATAATTTGTTTTTAATTCCAACTAAAAATGATGATTTTTTAAATTCCAACTAAAAATAATTTTTTTTAAATTCCAACTAAAAATGATGATTTGTTTTTAATTCCAACTAAAAATGACGATTTTTTTAAATTCCAACTCAAAATGATTTTTTTTAAATTCCAACTAAAAATGATTTTTTTTAAATTCCAACAAAAATAATTTGTTTTTAATTCCAACTAAAAATGATTTTTTTTAAAATTCCAACAAAAATAATTTGTTTTTAATTCCAACTAAAAATGATGATTTTTTTTTTTGTAAATTCCAACAAAAATAATTTGTTTTTAATTCCAACTAAAAATGATGATTTTTTTTTTTTTAAATTCCAACTTAAAACGATTTTTTTAAATTCGAACTAAAATGATGATGAAGAGGGCTAAGTGGGAGCCATTTTCATTTCAGGGAAAAATATATCTACATTCTTTGACATTTTCGCTCAACATTACGGCTGAGCCTGAAAGCTGTCTGCACTACTTGGAAGAATTTGTCAACATTTTCGACAACTATTTTCTAAGATCGAGGGGGGGGAAAAAAAAAAAAAAAAACGAAAACATGCTGCAAATCTGAAAAGCTGGTCACCCGTCATACCTGTCGAGGCATTTTTGTGCTGGAACTTCAACAAATAGGCGTTCATTCCTTTCCTAAAGTCCTACGGGGAAGCAAGGAAAAGCTGTCGTCGTTTCTTGAAGTGAGCGAGCGAGAGATGCACACGAGCGAGGCGCTATCGGTTTTTTTTTTGGACTACCTCGTCTCCAATGTAGTTGTGCAACATTCGGATGACCGAGGCGCCTTTGCTGTAAGAGATGGCGTCAAAGATTTCGTCCACTTCGGACGGATGGCCCACGTTGACCTGGGGG